AAAAAACTTGCTAAAAAAAAAAAAAAAATCAGTTTTGTTTACAAGGCTTCAATTGAGCTTTAAAGATAAAGAGCTCTTTATTGATTAATTCTGTTTGAATCCAATAGTAATGAATAGCTAACACTTGGGTCTCAGAACAAGAGTCTACTGGCCTTTAGAGTCCCAGAGCTGAGACTTGGTGACATATTAACACAGTGGTATGTCATTGGCACAGTCTCAACTCTACCCCTCTTTACCTGTGAGTTTTAGGTGTTCCTGCCCATCTTTTTGTGTTGCACAGTCAAATCTGACCCAAAATTGAAATGTAGTTTTATATTATTGAAATAATCAGCATTGACAGGGATAAACCAAAACAATTTACTAAAGGCCAACCAAAGCCTCATTTTGCAGAACATTTTGTATATAAAAACCTAGGACCAACAGTAGCTGGTCATCTTTAAATAATCCATATCTTTTGAAAAAAAAAAAAGGATTTTTTCTTTCAGTCACACCCCTTGAGTTCTTTATCCATGTGTACTTGTAACATGACACAGGCTTAATGGTGGCAATCTGGAGAAAATATATAACATCTTATATACAAATGAGTCTTTATAAATATAAACATCTGTAGTTCTACTTCAGTGGTTCATTTCTCAAGGCTTATACTCTCATCAGCGACTGCAAACACAGGACTGACGGAGGCCGCAAATTTAGTTTGGTGGCTGTGAAGAATGATGCAAGAACCAGGGTCAAAAAAGACCAGTTCTCCTCCATCGATATCCACCAAAACACCGATACGTTTGGGGCTTTTCAGCAGTTCTACAGCTTCATGCTGAGAGTCGTGGGAGAAGCGGAACTCTTTGTCATAGCGTGAAAAAATCCAAGATACGGGGTTAAATCCTAGCCTGGCATCGTTGCCCGAGCCCTTGCGTGCAATGCTTTTGTAGGTAATGCCGAGCTTGTAGGCACCACTCTTCTCCACATTGACCTTCCAACAATGGATGCCCTTCTGGAACGACTCATTGGCCAGACAGTTAGGCCAGTGGTCAAAGCGCTCAGGCCCATCTGGATACGTCTTGGCCTTCTTCTGTAGAAACTTCAGGCTGTTGTTTTCTGATAAGACCAACAAGGGGCTCATGGACTTCTCATCAAAGGTCAGGTCTTCACACGCTAAAATATAAAATCAATCATCAAATTACTAATCTTGAGTGGACTTCATTTATCCATGTGTTGTGTGATGAGCTATCATAAAGTATAACTGTACCTTTGTACAGTTTGACTGTAATCAACCCCCCCCCCC